ATGAGAAAAAGGAGCAGCGCATGAACCGAACGAAACACACGCGAACCAAACCGAGACAGTTGAACCGAACGGTTCGGACGGTTTGCAAAAACCGTTCCATCCCTAATATATATACACATTTGCATACATATATACAAACATACAGCATATATATGCTGTTTATATAGATATACATGTATATACACACACATATACATACATTTTCCTCTTCTTTTTGACTACTGAGCCAATGTGACAAGTGAATTTCTCCACTGTCAGATCAGTAAAGTCTAGCTTAGCTTAGATAGCAAGAGCATTTTGCAGTCTGTTTTTTTACCACACAAAGGGTATAATTATGTGTACAGTTTGCAAAAATGCACATTAAAGATTGTACAAATGTTTTATCAACATGTTGAAATCCGGTTGCTAACACATATGTGTATGTGAGAAGTAGGAAGAAAGCAGCTGAAATAATAACCATAAAATGTTTATAACCCTCAAAGCTGATTTTATAAAGTATAACAAAAAAATATTTCTGTCATTTTTTCAATCCAAACCACCTAAAGGATGCTGCATTGAATGTCAAATAAACAAAATAATCACGATCAACCGTGATCATTTTGTCAATTTGAATCTATCTTGGATTGTTCTTTGCTCTGTTTTGTTTTGCAAGGCTCCCTATGCCCTTTGTCAAAATTCCATAAGAGCAATTTTCTACCACAAACTAACACGAAGAGCCTGCTGAAATAGTTATCTGTTGTTTTTGATTAAAGTCAGATTTTTAAGAAGATCTGGTTTCTTTATGATTACAAAATCTAAAGGCTGTGGAAGAGTCAGGAAACTGTGCACAAAACTGTAACTCCTCTCATAAAGTCCCTGTTTGTTCTCACTTTAGGAGTTAATGAAATGTGGTAATAGTCAGGGTGTGAAGGAAATTGTAAACCGGAGGACCGACTGAGGGTGAAATGTTGCAAAAGGGAGAAAAAAAAAAGCTTAAAGAAAGATAAACGAATAAAGAATAGATGGATTTGGGGCGCCTTTGAAAGTGCAAAATACTGCTAAAACAAGCAGCCCAGTAATTTTTTCCTCTAAAAAGTTACACTTATCATGAACCGACACACTCATTTTAGATTAATTTCCAAGGAGTGGCTCTGTAATATTCACGCAACTTTAAAAAAGGTAAGCCTCTCTTCTGTCTTTGTGTGCCTTGCCGTATCCTCGGCCATGGTGAAATTACCACAAAACGCAGTGTTTAATGGAAACGACTCCCGCGGTCTCCTGTAGCGTGCTGATAGGCTGCTGGTGGGAGTGTGTCATCTGCATAAATCAATATTTATAAGAAGCAGCAGACAGTTGAGAGGTTGAGTCGCTCCTACTCCCTCCGAGTCACGCGGTGCCGTGCGGGGGGAAAAGCTGGAAGTTTGCAAAAGTGAGAGTCTGCAAAACTGAGTTTAATATAGTGAAACCATTAAGAGTAATAGCGACCGAGAAATAACAGCCCTCCCCCTCCCCAACTCAGGATGACACTGTGACCTGAAACTAGGATATATGCGAGGAGCTGAGAAAGAGCAACAGAAACTTTGTTGTGAGCATGCAAGCACACAGCACCTTGTGTGTGGCGTCCAGCTCATTATACAGGTCGCTGTGTTACCGAGCCAGATGTGCATCTTATGGCTTCACAGATAGCTTTCACAAACAAACACATTGTTCACTCCTCTCAACATCTGCTGCTATCATTAAAGAGTTAGCTTCCGCTTTAATCATAAGCCATTATCAGAGTAGTTACTTCGATATGCAGCACACATGCACGCACAGACGCCAACATACACACACAGAGAGGGATCCACTGATAGAGAGAGAGAAATGTTGGAGGCATCTGTTTCTCCTTCGCATTCGTGTCACCTCCAGATGAAATAAAGAGAAAGTTGGCTGTAGGAGCAGCTTTTTAACTAAATCATAATCCGACTGCAAAAGCGAGGGCGCTGATAGAGGGAGGCAGGGGCAAAGAAAAGCGGCAGTTAGCACTGCGCTGCTGTCGACTGCATCGCCAAATAAGCGGAGAAAATACAGCTCTCATAAAGCCCTGATGGTTGTGTTAAAGGGAGCAATCGGCGATTTGAGATCAAGTTAACAAGACACATGTGACAAGGAGGTGAACTGACACAGGAGTCTGTGGTTACAAGCATCTGTGTGTTTACTGGATGCCGGAGCAGGCTGGTATTGCATGTGCTGGAGCAAATAAATATCATTGCAAGGTCAAGTCTCCTTTGCAGTTCATGTTACACAAAAAGATGTGCAAACAGCATTTAAACTGTAAATACATATGGCATGTCACTAAATTAAATCATAATGAAAAAGTTAAATTAATCAAAAGTCCAAAAGTGAAACTAATCTATTATTAATAAAAAATCGAAAGTTAACTTTTTACAGAAATGTTATGCTATAGTGTCATTTTTTTTTTTTTTAAAAAGGCTTGGAGAAGGCATACTCAACTTGAGACATCAACTCCCTTTAGAAAGTGCATAAGCAACACAAGGTCACTAGACAAGCAAACTGTCCATGGATTTTCTATAAAGGAAAAGTAAAATATAAAAAGCTCCAGGAGGAGCAATTATCTGATCTTAAAGAATTTTAAAATAAAAAGCCTTTTCAAGAGATTGAAAAGGTGTGCAACCTGGTGTGGGTTCACTTATTCAAGAGTCTCCATACAGGGATTTATCTTGGAGATTGGCTGCAAAGGTCACACTCTATTTCAAAGAATTTCAGAATAGGGCCAGCAATTAATTGCAATTCCAACATAATCGCCATTTAAGAAAGTGGAATTTTCAAAACGTGGAGGCGCTCAGTTTCAGTAAATAATATGACAAGACATGAGAGTCATTTTTTTCTCACTCCAGCACTTTAAGTGCTGGTTATATGCTTAAAGTGGGGTTGCTTCAAGGAAAAATGAAAAAAAAAAAAAACTTCCAGCTAGCATTTGATCTATGCATGCTAGTAAAAGAAAGCAAAAGAAGTTACCGTCCTGCAAAAATGCACTTTGGAGAAGCAAGCTTTCAAGGTTATGAAAATATCTACGTTTGTAAAAGGAAAATCAAAATCAAATCGCAATAATGGTTGTAAATTATCGCAATTTTGATTTTTGACTAAATCCTTCAGCCCAGTGCTGATATTCATAAAAATTATCATAAAATGTTATTGAAGAATATTACAGAAAAATACTCAAAACAATAGAATAATCAAAGGACTGCACAAAGAGCTAAAGTGAACTGTATGAACTAAATTTCATTTGCGCCCTTCACTGAACAAGCATGGTTTACCAGAATCAGTGGTTAAAACAACTATACAGTTACAGCTTCTGATGTGTCACCTCTATGCCAGTCTATATGAAGGCAAGATAGAAAACAGCACATATTAGACTCAGGTCTGCCATGAGGTGGAAAGTGTTGGAACACGATTGTTTTGGTTTATAGTAAAATTAGTTTTAGACAAACAAGAGTTAGGGTGGTAAGTACACAGAGATGAGGAACAGTAGTAGGGGCATATATCAAATATGAACCCTTTGTTCTTTTTACATTATCATATTAAATGGTTTTTAGTTAGAAGCTCCATCTTTTTCCAGTTGTTTGTGTGTTCGTACCCCGCTCCAGTCATAGTTTCTGAGTTACTGACAGCCAAGCTGACCACTTCGGTGACATCTAATCTTCCGATGGCAGAGGGGCTCCGCTCCTTCTCATAATAACTCAGGAAGCCGCCCTCCAATGTACACCAGCGGCGTGCCATTTCTGAAAAACAAACACACAGATTTTCAATTCTGGCATCTCAGTATTTGCACTAGATGAGCAAAAAACTAATACTGAAAAGTTTTTAAAAAAATAAATAAAAATCTGGTAAAGGTATAGTGGAGGATGTTCTTTTTACAGGTGGATCATCTAAATAAGTGGTCCTCCTAATTGTCAATTATTCAGGTGATGTGTTTACTTAAGGCCGTCCTACGTGCTCGTCCCCATTTTCACTTACAGGTGGTGAGTCTGACATGGTGGAAAAACTGCAAATCTTCTTTTGGAAACTAAGCTTGTATGAGCGATGCAAACAGCAACTTTTAAACAGAAAGAGCAAGAGGAGAAATGGGCTCGTGCACACGTTTCATAGATGTTTCCTCACGGTAGTGGGTACAGACTCACTTTATGTCAGTCTGTAAAATGTCAGTCTTGTATATATCTTGTCCTGGCATGGTATACAGAGAAAACGTAATTTCATTTCCCTTGTATGTCTTGTGCATATGTAGAAAGTGACAATATAAGCTGAACCTGAACAGGGTTGTGCGTGAGCATTTTTTTTTTAAGGTGGAGAAGAAGGGTCTTCTCAAAAATGTGTGAAAATCCTCCACTATACCTTTAAAGTAAAAAAAAATAAAATAAATACAATTTTAATCAAATATACAAGCTTAGCATAATGTAAAGTTATTGGTGCTACAAAATTTTTTATTTATAGAATCTAAATCATTTATACCCTGACATTTATTTCTAAGTGCTCACCTATATTACATTATGCTCACTTTTAATCTACCATTATAAACACAAAGTCATTAAAAGTTTT